GGTTTCAATCGCAGCGATGCATCCAGGGGGCTCTTTAGAGTGGAGGGGCTTCCGCGGTCTTTTTACCTAATTAACACAGACAGGAATGGTCGGCGCCACGCCCCGTCTGTGCGCAGGCTGCGTTAATTTCATCTTCATTTACCTGGGGGCTGCTCTGTGCTATTGTTACTTCCCAGCATTGGGAAAAGAATGCACTTTTCCCTTTAATATTCACTGAACATTAATCATGCACTGTTCAGATCAGAAACAACGGCAAGGATGGGAAGGACCCGTGTGCTTGGGAAAGGCAGGGCCTCCGTCGGGAGCCTTGTGGCCGGATGCAAAGAGCTGGGTTCCTCCCCACTTCCCACCTCCTCCCACAGTTTAGGGCATTTGGGGCATTTGGGGTTCAGTTATTCCGTCTCATAAGCCATTGGAGAGGATCATGAAGAACCTATGCTTTTTTTCTTGTGTCAGTGTCAAGAAATATTCCCCCTTTTGCTTAATGAAGCCCATGAAATGCACTCTGCCTTTATGAAAAGGGTAGACCACCTTCCATTAATACTATTATTATTTTCTTATTGCATCTTCTTTGGACTTCTAGATGCTCCTGGCAGAACTGGACTCTGCTTTGTAACTATGTTGATCCTGCTATTAGATCCCACTTAGAAATACATCATTTAGAAATATTCTTTCTTTCATTTCTATCCATGCATCAGTCAGATCAGAAATCTTCAATCTGGAAGCACAGGGACATCCTCTTGGAAGAGCCAGATATAGGCAAGTGCAAACCCTGTACCCAGGCACTTCCCCTGGCAAAAATTCTCACACATACCTATGCACAAGGGAACACTACAAAGTACTTGTCGCAGCATTTTCTGTAATCTCAAAGAATTTGAAACTGTCTAGAGATCATTAGTAGCACAATGCTGAAATAAACCATATTCCATTCATTTAGTGCACTACCATGTAGCTTATAAAAAAAAGAGGCCCCAATATATAAAATGCATAGGTCTCCAAAACACAGCGTGGAATGAAAAAAAAGCAAGTTTAAAGAAGGGAACACAATTGAAATGAAACATGAAATAAGACTGTCAATGAGCGGGGTTGTATACATACATGTTCATAAATACTAGAGATGGGCTAGGAAGGGCCATGTGATTTTCACGGGACAGCTGTTTATGGAGTCCTGGGGGAGAGGAAAAAAAATAGAGCAGGATATGGGGACCCAAGACATTTATTTTTATTTAAAATTTTTAATTTTTCTAAAAAGCAAAATAATATGTTTTAATGATTGTGAATTTCATCTAATGGGTCTTCATCATATTATCCCCTGTTCTCGATATTTAAAAATTAATAAAGTAAAACCTCATTTACTTAAGTTAAGATCAGTAAACTTAATCCACGTTTCACTGAAAAGAACAAGAAAAATACCCGAAGGCTTAGGGGACTATACTCCCAAGGCGCCTGCGATGTTTTCTTAAAGCACCGCTTCTTTTATTCCCCCTCCTACGTGGACACTTGTCCTCGTAACTGAGGACCAATGCAGAAGCTTTTTACGTGTGTGTGTTAGGGGGCAGTTGACAATTATTATTTAAAAATATATCATTCAAATTTTATGACAGTTAAAGAATATCAGCCAAGAGAAAAGTAGAGCCAACAATCAAGATCCCTCGAAAACTTTGTAGAGCAACTTTCTCGAGTTGGGTTTGTGGTAGGACAATGAGGAATTTTATTCACTCACTCATTTGGTTTTTCTTTGTTTGTTTGTTTTTTCATTTATTCGTTCTGCTAGCCTCAAATATTTTTTAATATACCCATAATGTGTCTGGCGCTGTGAACTTACATATTACATGTTTATGTTTGGAATGTTCTTGCAAGATCTGTGACCAACACCTGTTGATTTTTGTGTGTGTATAGTTATCTGAAGTGACCTTCTGCCAACCGTATCTTGACATTTTCTGAGACGTGAACTCAGCTCACGACCCATTGCAGTTAGTCTGAAGCAAACGGCTTCTCCCCTTCTGGATCATCCAGCCTGTCTCAGCTGCTGCCCACGGGACAGGCCCTCCCCCGCCTGCGTGCCGAGGGACCCGCCTGGCTGCTCCTGGGCAATTCTCGCCCTTTTCACCTGACTCCATTCTTTACTCTCAGCAGCTTCACACCAGCCTGGGTTCTCTGTGGGTTTTCACCTTTCCCGGCTCCATTTTCTAGCAGAAATGCTAGAAACCAGACTTAGACTACAGGAAAGTGGAGGTGACTCCACTTGTTACTGGGCCTTTGAGCAACCAGCAGGGCCACAGAGAGCTGAAGGGTTTCCATTCGGAGCTTTCACCGTGTTGTAGATAGGTATTGTGGCCCGCAAATGGGTTACAAACAGTTGACGTGATAGGGAAACGTGCTTGGTTATGCACAGACGGTTTTATCAAGTCCCTTCGAGGCAGTTCTTCAGAATGTGAGATGCCTCAGCCCTCAGCAAGGGCTGAGATGGTGGAGGAGGTGGCGAGAGGCGGGAGGGGGCATGTGGTTGATCTTCAGTGTGTTCTGGCTCCCTGCTGGGCAACTTATACCCGCTCACTTAGTTAATGCTCACATTTACCCGGCTAGGTGTTGTTGTATCTACTCTGCAAGACAGTTATGACTGTTGCTGTTGTTACTCTTATTATTACCTTCAGCTTCCCAGAAAGGAAACAGGCTCAGGGAGTGAAATAAATTGTCCAAGTTCATGTAGCTGGGATCATGCGAGGCCTGAGTGTTGCCCAGAGGAGTGAATTCCACCAGGAAGGTAGGACCACCTGCTGTACTGGGCAGTGCCAGGCGTCCTGAGTGTGAGTCCTGGCCACGGGGCAGCGCAGTAAAGCAGGGAGCTGGAAGGAAAAACCCACCTGAGACAAAAGAGCCCCTTTTGGCTCTCCCTCCCTCCTAGGTGAACCCTAACCCCTGCCTCCCCAAACACTGCCAGAGAAATAAGTCAGGCCAAGAAGCTGGGGCAGGTCTCGGATGTTCGAGTCCGAGTTGAAATCCCAGCGCCACCAGTTCTTGGCTGAGTGTACTGGGCAGCTGACACTTACACCTAAACTTTGGCTCTTGCAGCTGTAAAGCAGGGCTAATAAGTTGAGCAGCACTGTTCATACAGTAAACAACTTTTATTGAGTGATGCTGTGGGCTCGACTCCATTTGGGGGCCTGGGAGGTAGAGCAGTGAGCAAAATAGAACCCCTACTCACAAGAAAATGATATTCTAGTTATACTAGAGAGGAAAAAACCACACACACAAGTAATAGGGAGGTAGTGACAAGTAAGTGGGAAAATGCACATAAAGTACTTAGAATAGTGCTTGGCATGTGGTAAGCACTCAATAAATGTTAACTATTATTCTTTATCCATCTGTGTAGCAATTTGAAATAAAATAAATCAAAGCATCCAGGTTGCCAAATAGGATTTCTTTCCACAGCTGCTTCTTCCCCTTCTAAGGCCACTGATTTTTCTAGAAGCTCTGACAGCTTCCATGGCACCCAGGCCTTGTGCCACGGTCTCAGGTATGGAGTGAGGCTGTGTGTTACGGGCTCGCTTGGTGGTCTCCTGCTAGTGGGTTTTGAGCCCTTTGAGACTAAGGACTGATCTCTCAGGCAGGTGTGTATTCTGAGGGCCTGCACATAGTAAGTGCTCAATTAATACTTGTTTTCAGAAGGAGAAAAGGGGGTAGTTTGTACGTGGCTCCATGAACTGCCCTTGAGTGGTTTTATATTTACTGTGTTTTTGCTAAGAAAAGTGTTGGCTTTTGGTGTGGTGATTGGGAGGAGGCCAGAGAAAAAGAGACCCAAAAAATTCATTTGTCTGACTTTCTTTTTTTCTGGAAAGAAGACAGCATCAATCTTCAGTGGCCCCTTAATTATTCTCGCCAGGTCTGCAGGCTTGTTCCCGCAGCCTGCCAGTGACAACAACTTAATGTTGTCATAAGCAGAACAACTTAATGGGAAGGAGAGAGGCCTGTGATGTCTGGGCCAGGGCCGCAGCAGTGGGGCTATTGCGTGGGGAGCAGCAGGCCCCCTCCTGCCCCCCACCCCCCCTCTGACAGGCAGCTGCGAAATATCTCAGGCCTGAGGTCTGGCACCAGCCAACAATCTTCTCGAAAAAGAATGTGCTTAAGAATTTTGGGGGTAAATCAGCCACTATCCAGAGCCTGAGGCCCCCTTTTAAACATGACGCTCGGCATAACCTTCCTAATTCCTGTTACCAGAGCCCCCCCACCGCCCTTGGAGAGTAGCAATGATTTTCACTACCTTAAACCGGGCCAAGTTCAGAGTGTTTTCTGGATGAGCAAGGGAAACACTCAACCCAAGACAAACAAACAGAATTCATGTGGATGGTTTGCATTCTGTTGAACTGCTTCATTTTTAATAATTGTTTGAATAACAAACTAGTGATTGCCTATAATTTTAAAAACAGTCCTCAAGAGCAATCCATATGCATGTGACGGTAGCTTGTGCAGAAACGCATCTAGTTATATACATATATCCTTGGAGCAGCCACACCTGGATCTCTTACAGGAATATTTGCATAGGTTAGCTCTGTAAGCCACACACACACCCCTTTCTGAATAAATTATGTTTTAAAAATTTACTCTCCTTAAACTAGTTGTAATCTTGTGGGTTTTGTTTGTAAAGTTGGACTCCTAAAAGAGCCAAGAGAAAGAGAGAAAATGTTGAATGTATTTTACATTAAATACTAACCTTTTTGTTAAAAACTATCATTGTGTTCCAGAGTAAATTTATTAAATCTTCCCAAATATGTCCTGCAAAATTAATTTTCATTCGTTTTGCATTAACTTGTTTGTTAAATTGGAATTCGGTCCCCATTCGAGGCAATTAATTTGAAGAGTGACCATACACCCACCCACCCTCTTTCTAGAACACCCACGCACATATGCTAGCAGTGACTGGGTTTTCTTTCTTTTTTTTTTTCTCTCTCGGAGCTATTTTCCACTCTCGCCTGTTAAATAAATGATCTGTCTCTTTGCAGGATAGCGACAACCTCTGGTGGGACGCATTTGCCACCGAGTTTTTTGAAGATGATGCCACATTAACCCTTTCATTTTGTTTGGAAGATGGACCAAAGCGATACAGTAAGAACAAAGTTTGTTTTTCTGATATTTCCTCTTCTTGCGTCTCTAAGAAAACCACAGGGGTCTTCAGGGACTAGCACAGTGCCCACAGCCTGACAGTAATGCCCCCGCTCCTGCTGTCGCTCTAGCTTCCGATCAAGGCCTTGTCAAGGGGTGGCAGCCGGGTTGGCCAGGAGAGCTCTCCTCTGAGGCGTAGACTGTTTGGACACTTGCCTGTTTAGCAAGCGAGGCAAATAGGAACCAAGTCACTCAGTGATAAGTGGGAGCTGAATTGTGGAGACTTCCCATCTGTCTCCTCCTTGTGACCCCCTTCTATCCTTGACAGCAGCTTACACTTCACGCCCAATGTTCTGCTTCTGAAGGTCCCTTAAAAAAAATTGCTCACAATTACTGTATCAGCAGCATTCTTCTAATTTCCTCTTATCAATTATCTCAGGTATTTATTGGACAAGCTTGATCTTTCCCGGGGGCGGGGGGAGGCCACAGCTGCTTTGAACATACAGTTTTGGATGGGTGTTGACAGAATTACAGTTCCCTGTCTCTCTGGTGAGTGATAACTCCGTAAGGATCCTCCAGTTACAGCCCGTGGCACCTCGGGCAGCAGCTGATCTGTCCTGATTGGGTTCAGCCAACTTGTCGGAGATCAGATTTGCCAGTTCTGCTGTAAGCCCGAGAGGTGCAGATACGTCTGCACAAAGGCAATTAATGTCCGTTTAGATCAGGGGGAGACGTGTTTCCAGAGATCAGGGCTGCACGTATGAAAGGATCTTTCAGAGGGTAAAACATCCCACGTGTCACAAACATGGAAGTGGTGATGGAACCAGCCACAGTGTGCTTGAAAGAGGCAATCCAGAGCACTGGGCAATTTGTACGTAACAAAACTCTTGATAAAAACGAGGGAAAGATCTGATTGTGGCTAAATGTGTTTCAGAGTCATAGGGAACAACAAGTTGGTTTCTTAAAAAAACTTGGTGACTTCAGACAACTTAGTAGTGTTTGGATCTATTGCATGATGAATTGATTAATTATGCTGACATATGCATGGTGATTTGCAAGTGGCAGACTGGGGAGAGCCCAGCACCTTGGACTTGCTCCCCTTTTGAGACTCATTGCCAAGAGCATCTCTTTCGATTTGTGTACTTTGGGCTTTTGAAGGCGTGGGGCATTTCCAATAAATATTTTTGGTGAGAGCCACAGCTGTTTTGTCAGACAATGGGCTGTTTTAGAGTGTCTTCATTCAGCATAGTGGCTCCTGTTGCAGGCGCAGGTAAGTCGGCTTCCTGGGGGTCCTGATGAGCTAACTGACCTTCCTGAGTGTTGATGCCCCCGGACATGCCCGAGACAGCAAGAGAGTTGGGCTTAGAAGCTGCTGTTTCCAGAGAGCCTGGGAGATAAATGAACTGGGCAATCCAACAATTACTCTCTCCCCCGAAGCCGGCCTGATCAGTGGTGAATAATTTCTAATCGAGCAGTCATCCATCTTGTGAAGCTTATTTATTTATTTTTTTTGGAGGCATAAGCTCAGATCACTTCAAGGTATCATTGTTTTATGTTTCTTGTTCCTACGTGTGTTTTTTCTGGTTTGGAATTCATCAGGGTCTGCTCCAGGAGCTAGAATTCCAGTTTTAAAGCATGTACTAAAAAAACAGATCCCCGACCTTCTCTCTGTGCACCCCCACCCCACATCATGTGGGGACGCGGCATCTCAGTGCCTCTTTAAGATCTCACGTCCATGCACAGGAGGAATGCCCGGCTCTGAGCCGCCGTTGCCCAGGTTTCTTTGTTTCTCTGAGCCAAAATATTTCCCGAGTGGGGAAGAGAAACAAAGATGACTGACAGCTTGGAGCCAGGTCTCATCAGCCGCTTTGCTGACAGCCTGGTGATGTGCACACGCTGCTGATGTGTGGGCGAGTGACAGCTGATTGACAGCCAGGACCGGGAGACGGGAAGATGAAGCGGGCTTAGAACAGCCTGGCCTGACGCGTGCTGCTTATGCGGCGCTCCCAGCCCAGCGCTGCCGCCTTAACCCATTCGTGGTCCAGGAGCTCTGTGCCAGGCTGGGAACACGCCTGCTGGCCCTGGGCTGCAGGCTGTAGCTCTTTCCTGAGGCCTCCCAGGGAGCCAAGGGCCTTGTATTTCCAAGGAAGAATATTAGACTGGGCTGTTACATTTATATATGTAAAAAACGTCCCCACATTATTTTCATTCGAGGTACCAAGAAATATTCCAGATGAGGTATCTTTAGCCCTTACTAGAAAAAACTGTTTCTTCTCCCTCCCATCGCTCTGTTTTCAGAGGGTCCCCCTGGCTCTATGATATCTTATCTCTAAGCTCGGAGAATCCCTTAATATGTGTTTGCTTATATATTTGTTCGCTGTCACCCTCTATTAGAATGTTATCTCCACATGGACAGGACTTTCATATTATTTATTGCCCAGTTCTCAGGTGAATACAGGAACTTGCACATAATAGGTGCTCAGTAAATATTTGCTGAATGAATAAGTGAATGAATGAATTGACATTTGGGGGAAAGTTTATATCATCAAACAGAATGTCGGCAAAATAATCCCTTTACCAAGATCTCTGGACCTTTGTAATTGGAGGAATTGAAACTACAGGGCTGTGCTGGTGTTTTTCAAATAAGCTCTAGGATATGGTCTGATCTACTTTAAGTGGGGCAAGGGAGCAGTGTAATAATCCAGGAAATAATTATGCCTTGGGAGGTGCATCTCTCTTTCAGAAAGCTCCTCTGCATTGGCTGTGTTGTACCAACCGCCCCAGTCCCCACTCTCCTGATGGGGGTGAGAGCCCCTCCCCAGGTGGGATACGATTGGGAGAGATGGAGACTGCTGGGTGTGGCTGCTGTGGAGACCGCCAGGTAGACCGTTACTGGGCCCTGTAAGAAAGCTGCTGTGCGTCACTATGGCAACTTGCCAGTCCCTGCCCTGTGGAGCACCGGGGAGTTGTTTCTCCAGCAGCTGGAGACATGGGCAGTTCCAGGGAGGTAGTTTTTTCCTTGGGGTAGGAGGGTAAGTGACTTTCTCTTTGTCAGCAGATCGGTGCTGAAAGACCATTTGAGCTGAAAAGAGTCTTTCTGAAAATGGAAACTTGATCCAGAGGGTCCCAGCTGGTGAGCCACTGGGCCTCTAGTTGACTGAATTCAAAGTCAAAGTCAGGGTACCTTCCCTCCCTTGCCCCCATCCGCCCCCTACATCGTCCCATAGCTAATGGGACAGGAGCGGATTCATCAATTCACACATTTCCAGGAACATAAGTCACGAATAGTTACCGTGCCTGACACAACAGAGACAAGGCGAGCAGAAGAGTGAGTCCTGAAAGCCCTCTACACATTGATTGGCACACTTGCCTTCCGGCCTCCTGTGTGATTTTCCTATCGTCTTGCTCAGAAACAACCATTCTTACACTGATTGCTCCTTGTTAACTTCAAGCAAGTACTGATGTTCCTCCCGTCCTTTTTTGGGCACGAGACAGAATTGTGACCCTCACTCTCTCTGTCCTCATGACCATCACAGATACCCTTTAGATAAAGATGCTGGAAGCCCCCTCAGGACACTGAGGCTGTGTCCAGGTCCACGTTGACCATGATCTTCATCAGTAGGACATGTGTGATTCCCAGGTCATTCAGGGAATAGTTCTTTGCTGGGAAAGATACATGGAGAAAGTTCTCCAGAGTCCCATGGCATTGGAGAGGCTGGGAAGCCACACAATGTAGTCAAAGGGCACCAGGGTTCAGTGCAAACATTTTTGGGTTTTAATCTGTGCTAGGTTTGGTAAACAGAGCCTCCATTTGCTCATCTGTAAAATGGGCACAATACTATCATCACTGGCTCGTGGTAAAAATTAAATGAGATAATCCATTAAGAAAATCTTGGATCATTTGAAGCATAGTGTTGTCAGTAGTCTCTATTGTTATTGATAACAAGGCACAGTCTCAGCATCACTGTAGCTTTTGTGCATCAGTGGATGGGCTTACCACTTGGCAGGTGCTTAGCAAGTGTGCTCAGTCTGTAGAGCTTGCTGGAGAGCCCCGCTGGTCAGCTGGGGGCCCCTAGGACCCTGGTGGGCAGTTCCTCCTGACATGCATACTGAAGAGATGACCTCCTCCCCGAAACCAGCTCTGTGCTGGGTGGGTAACTGCATGCAGGAGGGAAACAGGCGAAGGATGGGTGAGTATGTTGGGGCTCTGCGCTTTGGCGGGCAAGGACTCAACACTTGGTTAAACACGTCTAGGTTGGCATTGCTTAGGAAATTAGAGTGAGAAATGCTATAACTACTAAAATGCCATCTTGTTTTGGGGCACTTCCTATTGGCCTACATTTTAGGAAAGGCATGTTTTTCAGGCAGGTGCTCTGGTTGGATACCTGGGTTCAATTGCAGCTTTGTCTTTTACTACCTGTGTGATTTGGCATAAATCACGTTCTAAGCATCATCGGCCTCCATGGGAAAGTGAGGGTTTGAGGCACCATGGAAATGCTCCATAAATAGCTGTTGTTATTTGATTGAATTCCAGTGAGCACACTGAGGCCTCTAGACCCAGCGCCATTCAGATACAGTTGTCATTAATCCTTTAACCATTGCTCGGAGTTTCGGGGTTGATGAGTGCCGGTAATTTTCTGTCACGCACTTGTTACTGACTTCTGTATTCTGTCTGGAATAAGGATTTCCAGCGTGACCTCACACCTTCATGGTCACACTAGCCAGACTCTTCATTCCCTTCCCCTCTGTGGCTGCTGGAGGACATTTCACTCTCCAGAAAAAGAAAGCTGTTTTAGGACATGTCATCACTTTTCATAGCACTATTTTCTTGTTTATCTTGGTCATCTGGTCCTGTTAGATAGTTTGAAGAACCGCAAATGGGTCCCTCCATGGAGTCACTTCCACACTCATTTCTCTTTTACATTTTCTCCCCACCTCCCTGTTTTTGGACAGCTCTGATAGCCTTGCAGTATTGCCTAAGCTCTTCAAGTTTGTCCTGTAAT